AACGGAGTGGCTCCCCTTCCACGGGGTTGGACTCTCCCCGAGTCTAACATTTTGGTGCATTGGCCGGGAAACAGGAGCAACCGTCCTCGGCAAGCAACATCCTAGCAGGGGGAGGTAAGACCGATCGGAAAGTGTGTATTTTTGTGTGTTGTTCTGTTCTGTCCTTGTCCCCCCCCAGTCTTTGAACGGTACCGGTTTGATTTGAATTTGTACGCTGGAGGACGCTCCAGTGCTTTGGAGACGGGGTGAAGATCACGTCACCCTCGTCTGGCCTTGTATGGTCGCCCCAGAGCGGCCGTCTTGTATCTTGTATTGGGCCCTTTGGAAATCTTGTATCGCGCGAATCCTGTTTGTGTCATTTGTTTGTTTTGTAATTGTGTGTAGTCTCTTGTCTTTGAATATGGGTCAGACTGAGTCTTCTCCCCTAAGTCTTACTCTCCAACATTGGCCTGACGTTTCCACCCGTGCTCACAACCTATCAGTGGAAGTGCGTCGAAAGAAATGGAAAACTCTCTGCACCGTTGAGTGGCCGACTCTCGCTGCTTCATGGCCGCCCAGCGGCACCTTTAATCTAACCACTATCTTGCAGGTGAAAGGCCTCATCAGGGCGACAGGGCCATCGGGGCATCCCGACCAGTTACCGTATATCTTGGTATGGGAGGACCTCGTGGTTAATCCCCCGCCGTGGGCTCAACCTTTTCTCATTGCACCCTGTCCTCCTCCTCCTCCTTCTCCAGAATTGCCGGCGCCTTCAGCTCCGCCCCTACCCCAACCCTCTGCTCTTGTTTCCCTCTGTCCGCTGGAAGCTACACGTCCTCGACCTAAGCCTGTCCTGCCTGATGATAGTCAGACGGACCTATTAATGACCTCTGAACTTCCTCCACCTTATCCCCAGGAGCATCAACCTGAAGGAGAACCCCCAAGAGGAAGACCGGGGGAGATGGGCTCTCCAGACACCACTGTAAATGAACAGCCTGAAGCCAGATCCCCAATCCATACCAGGTTGCGGCTACGCAGGGCTCAATTGGAGGAGGGAGAAAGAGGAGAAGGGCAATGGTCTTCACAGTTGTACCCCTTGAGAATTGTAGGGGGGCAGGTCCAGTATTGGCCTTTCTCTGCCTCTGATTTGTATAATTGGAAAACTCATAACCCTCCTTTCTCCCAAGACCCCCAAGCATTAACAGGTCTCATCGAGTCCATCTTGTTGACGCACCAGCCGACTTGGGATGATTGTCAGCAGCTGTTACGGACTCTACTGACCACAGAAGAAGTCCAACGGGTGCTGATGGAGGCCAGAAAGAATGTCCTTCGGGCAGCCCACCCAACTTCCAAACGAAATTGATGAAGTGTTCCCCCTTGTCCGACCTAATTGGGACTTCGACACTCCAAATGGTAGGGAGCGTCTCCGTCTTTATCGCCAGACTCTGTTGGCAGGTCTCAAGGGTGCCGGAAGGCGACCCACTAATTTGGCTAAGGTAAGAGCAGTTCTACAGGGAGCTGGGGAGACTCCCGTGGGATTCTTAGAAAGACTAATGGAAGCATACCGCATGTATACACCGTTTGATCCGGCAAGTGAAGATAGGCAGGGGGAAGTGATTATGGCTTTCATAGGACAGTCAGCACCAGACATTCGAAATAAGTTACAAAGACTAGAAGGATTACAGAATTATAGCTTGCAGGACTTAGTAAAAGAGGCAGATAAAATTTTCAATAAGAGAGAGACTCCGGAAGAGAGAGAAGAGAGACTAAGAAAGATGCAGGAAGAAAGAGAGGATAAGAGAGATAAGCGACGGAATAAAGAACTGAGCCGTATCTTGGCCACTGTAGTTCATAACAAGCAAATAACATCCCAGGGAACTGAGATAGGGAGACAGTTTAGAGAACAGGGAGGTGAGCGGCGAAACCGTTTAGGGAAAGATCAATGTGCTTACTGTAAAGAGAACGGCCATTGGGCAAAGGATTGTCCCAACAATCCTAGAAACAAGAAAAGGCAGACCTCAGTTTTGACTTTAGAAGACTAGGCCAGTCGGGGCCAGGAGCCTCCCCCTGAGCCCAGGCTAACTCTGTCTGTGGGAGGCAAGCCCACCACGTTTCTAGTAGACACCGGGGCTCAACATTCAGTTTTGACAACTACTGATGGACCTATGAGCCAGAAGACCTCGTGGGTACAGGGAGCCACAGGAGGACGCGCGTACCGGTGGACGACTAATCGGCGGGTCGACTTGGCTACAGGTACTGTCACTCACTCCTTTTTACATGTGCCTGATTGTCCCTATCCCCTATTGGGACGAGATCTTCTGACAAAACTGGGAGCACAAATCAACTTTAAAGAACAAGAAATAACAGTGACTGGGCCTCAGGGGCAATCCCTGTGCATCTTAACCCTAAAATTAGAAAATGAATACAAACTACATGAGGCCATTAAAGAAACTGAAACTAACAAAGAGGGAACCCCACCTTACATGGAGAGATGGATGACTGAATTCCCAGATGCATGGGCAGAGACGGGTGGCATGGGATTGTCAGTGCAACAGCCACCAGTACACGTACAACTAAAGGCTACTGCAGGGCCCGTGGCTATCAGACAATATCCCATGTCAAGGAAAGCCTTTGAGGGCATTCGCCCCCACATCCACAGACTGCTAAAACTGGGAATTCTCATTCCTTGCCGGTCACCGTGGAACACTCCTCTCCTACCAGTGCAGAAGCCGGGGACAAATGACTATAGGCCCGTCCAAGACCTAAGAGAAATAAATAGTCGTGTAGAAGACATACACCCCACTGTGCCAAATCCTTATAACCTTCTCAGCTCCTTGCCTCCCTCCCATGTGTGGTATAGTGTCCTGGATTTAAAGGATGCTTTCTTTTGTTTAAGACTGAGCCCGGCGAGCCAACCTTTATTTGCTTTTGAATGGAGAGATCCAGAACATGGAGTAAGTGGGCAGCTGACTTGGACTCGATTGCCACAAGGCTTCAAAAATTCCCCCACCATCTTTGATGAGGCCCTACATCAAGACTTGGTGGCATTCAGATTAAGTAACCCCAATCTGACTCTCCTCCAATATGTAGATGATCTCTTACTGGCAGCACCTACCAGGGAGGCCTGCCTAGAAGGGACAAGGGCCCTGTTACGTGAATTGGGAGCCCTAGGATATCGGGCATCTGCCAAGAAAGCCCAGATATGCAGAGAGGAGGTAACCTACCTAGGATATATCATAAAGGGAGGAAAAAGATGGTTAACTGAAGCCAGGAAAGCTGCGGTAGCGTCTATACCAGTCCCAAGGAACTCCCGGCAGGTACGTGAGTTTCTGGGAACGGCAGGATTCTGCCGGCTGTGGATACCTGGGTTTGCGGAGCTGGCCGCTCCCTTGTACATGTTAACGAAGGAAAAAAACTCCTTCATCTGGGGAAAAGAACAACAACGGGCTTTTGATTGCATTAAAGAGGCCCTCCTAACAGCACCGGCCCTGGGACTGCCTGATGTCACAAAACCATTCACACTGTATGTGGATGAGGCCAAAGGAATTGCAAAAGGAGTATTGACGCAGCCCCTAGGCCCTTGGAGACGACTGGTTGCCTACCTTTCAAAGAAACTAGATCCAGTGGCCTCAGGGTGGCCCCCTTGCCTGCGCATGGTAGCAGCTATTGCGACCCTGCTCAGGGACGCAAACAAACTGACCCTGGGACAGAAAGTGACAATAATAGCTCCACATGCTGTGGAGTCAGTTGTCCGCCAACCGCCAGACAGATGGCTTTCAAACGCCCGCATGACTCACTACCAGGCTTTGCTCTTAGCTCCTGAACGCATTACTTTTGGACCAGTTGCTACGCTCAATCCCGCTTCCCTATTGCCGGAGCCGGGAACGGCCAAGGATGCCCCCCATGACTGCTCCCAGATTCTGGCCGAAGTTCATGGGACTCGTGAAGATCTAACTGACCAGCCTCTACCAGATGCGGAGGTAACCTGGTTCACAGATGGCAGCAGCTATGTCACCGAAGGAACTCGGCGGGCAGGAGCAGCAGTGGTGAGTAACAATGACTCCATAGTCTGGGCCAGTGCCCTAGAGCCAGGGACGTCGGCCCAGCGAGCTGAACTAATAGCCCTCACAAAGGCTCTAGAACTGGCGGCGGGAAAAGTAGCAAACATCTATACTGACAGTAGGTATGCTTTTGCTACGGCCCATGTGCACGGTGAGATTTATCGCAGAAGGGGCCTCTTAACTTCAGGAGGACGAGAAATAAAGAACAAGCAAGAGATAATAAACCTCTTGAGGGCACTATTCCTTCCAAAAAGACTAAGCATTATTCATTGTCCGGGCCACCAAAAAGGAACAGATCCAGTAGCTAGAGGAAATAGACTGGCAGACCAGACTGCAAAAACTGTTGCCACTGAGCCAATCTCAGCCCTACCCCTGGAAATAAACTCAAAAATGGGACCCGAAGAGACCAGGCAAAACACAGATGACATAGTCTGCAACTGGGGAGTTCCATTTAAATATACTGATAATGACAGAACTCTCATTAAAGAACTCGAAGGGGAATGGGATGCTAAGTGCAAAGCATGGAAAAAAGGAGACAAGGTCATCCTGCCCTATCGCATAGCTACTGAAATCATTGAACACCTCCACCGCCTCACTCATTTAAGCCAGAGAAAAATGCACGCTCTACTTACAAATGAAAAATGCCCGTTTATAACTCCTGACCTGCAGTTTCTTACTCAAATTACAGTGGACCAATGCAAGCCTTGTGCCCAGGTAAACGCAGGGCGACTAAAACTCCCCCAAGGAGCCCGTGCCCGAGGACACCGACCGGGAATACAATGGGAAATAGACTTTACTGAAGTAAAACCGGGACTGTATGGTTATAAATATCTCTTAGTTTTTGTAGACACCTTTTCAGGCTGGGTAGAAGGCTACCCCACGAAGAATGAAACGGCCACGACAGTCGTTAAAAAACTCCTTGAAGAAATTTTTCCCCGGTACGGATTGCCGCAAGTATTGGGGTCAGATAACGGTCCCGCTTTCGCCTCCCAGGTAAGTCAGGGAGTGGCCAAGAGTTTGGGGATCAATTGGAAACTACATTGTGCTTATCGACCCCAGAGTTCAGGCCAAGTAGAAAGAATGAATAGAACTCTAAAAGAGACCTTGACTAAATTAGCCCTAGAGACTGGCGGAAAAGACTGGGTACGGCTCCTCCCTATGGCCCTTTTTCGAGTGCGCAACACTCCTGCATATCATGGGCTGACTCCCTTTGAAATATTATATGGGAGCCCACCACCGGCATCCTCTTTCTGTGATTTTGATCCTACCATGTTCCCCCATCCACCCTCGTTACAGGCGCATCTCCAGGCTCTCAGAGCAGTGAGAGAGTACATCTGGAAACCGCTTGCAGAGGCCTACAAGGACAAAGACATTCCACCGTGCCCTCACCCGTTCAAGGAAGGAGACCAGGTGTATGTCCGGAGACACCAGGCAAAAACCTTAGAACCACGGTGGAAAGGACCCTTCACCGTCCTACTGACTACTCCAACCGCCCTGAAAGTCGACGGAATTGCTGCCTGGGTACATGCCTCCCACGTGAAGCACGCCAAGGATCAGCCAGCAACAGGGACTACAGGGACTGACCAGGAACCAGAATGGAAACTCCAACGAACCCCAAATCCTCTAAAGATAAGACTGACTCGTGCTTAAAAATGTACTTTTTGACTTTGCTATCTCTTCCATGTTCATTGTCAGATTATAACCCACATACCCCCCATAAAATTACCTGGAAAATCAGTAGTTTAGAAATAGGAACAGTCATAAATAGCACTCAAGTCATTGGACCGGTTGATGTTACCTTCCCCAAACTATATTTTGATCTATGTGACCTAGTTGGAGGAGCATGGGAGACTCCCGGTCTCCCTTATTCAGGAACTAGTAGTCGGAACGCGTATGGCTGTGAGAATGTACTGGGATGGTTACACACCAGAGCCAGACCCTTTTACATTTGTCCGGGGAGTGACCGTAGCAAAGCCAAAATCAAGCAGTGTAGGGGGGCCGAAGAAGGATACTGTGCTAGTTGGGGTTGTGAAACTACCGGAACAGTGTATTGGCTCACTGAATCAACTGACCTCATCTCAGTCAAGAGGGAAAATATTCCAGGGTATCCAGGGACAGGGCCCTAGATTTGCGGCCAGGGTCACTGGAAACAAAACTGCGGACCATGCTTTGATAGTGTGACTAGAAGAACAGGGAGCACCCCAGGTGGCAGATGCAATCCTTTAGTTATTTCTTTCACCTCGGCCGGAGAAAAAGCTGACTGGACTAAGACGAGAGTATGGGGATTGCGGCTCTACAGAGAAGGGTGGGACGCATTCACTCTGTTCACTATCTCCCGCCAAATAGAGCCCTTAGCCACCCAGTCTATTGGCCCAAATCATGTCCTGCCTGCCTTCCGCGGGCCGTCAGGACAACAGCCTCAACATCCTATAAGGCCATTTTTCAACCACACAGTAGCTCCACAAACTAGCACGCCGGCCTCCCCCACTATAGTGCCGAAAAGCACGGGAGAAAGACTCATAAATCTAGTTAAAGGAGCCTTTCTAGCCCTTAACTCTTCAGATCCCGAAAGAGCCAGGGACTGCTGGCTATGCCTCAACCCCAGTCCACCTTATTATGAAGGAATAGCCACAATAGCAAACTTAACAAACTCCAGTAGCCCATCTCCAGTCTGCAGCACCATGGGGCACGAACTGACACTTACTGATGTCAGTGGGACAGGTCTATGTATAGGAAAGAATTCAATAAAATCTAGACTATGTAACCAGAGTTTAAATGTCCCAATAGGAAATTATTATCTGACACCACCTAATGGGATCTATTGGGCATGCAACACTGGTCTGACCCCTTGCATCTCGGCACAGGTTCTTTTTTTTTTTTATTTCTTTTTTTTTTTTAAGATTTATTTTTATTATTTTTTTATTGGAAAGGCGGATATACAGAGAGGAGAGACAGAGAGGAAGATCTTCCGTCCGATGATTCACTCCCCAAGTGAGCCGCAACGGGCCGATACTATGCCGATCCAAAGCCAGGAGCCTCTTCTGGGTCTCCCACGCGGGTGCAGGTTCCCAAAGCTTTGGGCTGTCCTCGACTGCTTTCCCAGGCCACAGGCAGGGAGCTGGAAGGGAAGCGGGGCTGCCGGGATTAGAACTGGTGCCCATATGGGATCCCGGGCGTGCAAGGGGAGGACTTTTAACCACTTGCGCCACCACGCCGGGCCCTCGGCACAGGTTCTTAACGTCACCAAAGACTTCTGTGTGCTTGTTCAATTGTGGCCAAGAATAACGTACCTTCCGTCTGAGACTGTTTTAGCTGCCTATGAACATCCAGGGAGGGCCAAGCGAGAGCCTGTCTCTATTACTCTAGCCGTGTTACTAGGTACAGGAGGAATAGCCGCTGGCATAGCCACTGGAGCAACTGCTCTGTCGAGAACAGACTATTACCAAGGACTACACCAGGCTATGAATGAAGACCTACAGGCCTTAGAACAGTCAGTCAGAGGACTAAAAGAGTCTCTTACCTCTCTGTCTGAAGTAGTGTTGCAAAACAGGAGAGGACTAGATTTACTATTGTTAAAAGAAGGAGGATTGTGTGCCGCCTTAAAGGAAGAGTGTTGTTTCTATGCTGACCAAACTGGAAGTGTGACTGAGACTTTAGATCGACTCAGAGACAGATTAAATAAAAGACAGAAAGAATTGTCAGCCCAACAAGGATGGTTTGAAAAAATGTTCTCTCAATCACCCTGGCTAACCACTCTCATCTCTGCTATAACAGGACCTTTAATATTATTATTACTCCTTTTAACTATAGGACCTTGCATTATTAATCGTTTATTACAGTTCATAAAAGAAAGATTGTCAATAATTCAAGCCTTTGTATTAACCAGCCAATATCAGCCTGTACAAGAAAATGCCTGCTAATGCTTATATTTTAAGATAAAAATATGTCCTAAAAGAAAAGGGGGAATGTAAGAGCTTAGAATAACCGCTTGATTTTGCTTCTGTATATTGCTTTCTGCTGAGCAAGAGTAGAGCCATGTTGGAATAAATATAGAAAAGTTATTTCATGAAGCAAGTAAAAGTTTCAGTTTCCCAGACATGAACAAGGCAGCTGCAGGAATGGAGGAGATAAGGTAGCAAGGCCGGAGCAGCAAGGCCAACACAAGAATATAGTGGATAAGAAAGGGAGGCACAACAGTCTGAGAAAGTGCAGACTGTTATGCCAAGCCAAGGGGGCCCTGGCGCTGTCTAATCTTAAAGTAAAATGCTAGCTGTTATGCGAAGTTTGCGGTTTTGTCCTTTAAAAAGGTGCTTTAACCTGCTTAGGGCGCGCAGACTCCTGGGTGTCTCCAGAGACTCTGTCGCCCATTCGCGAATGCTCAATAAAATCCTCATGCTTTTTACAGCCTCTGCTTTGTGACTTGTCTTGCCGAACGGAGTGGCTCCCCTTCCACGGGGTTGGACTCTCCCCGAGTCTAACAAGGCCACCCCTACTCTCCCAACCTTCCTGGGTCCCCAATGTGGGGCATGCTCCGAGGGCACTGCTCAAGTGGTTTCGATAGTTCAACACTGCTGGATTGTTGCCAATCTCTCCAGTCCAAACACGATGAAATCTCCAGAATCCACTGGCTGACAGAGTCTGCCTTAGAGTCTCTGCTTGCCCAGATTGTCATTGCCACCACTTGGTTGGGGTAGTTTGCCGGAGTCCAGCTCCAGCTGAGTTCGGAACTCAAGAAGGGTGCATGGATGAGGCGCAAAGAGGAATGAAACGGACCACTAAGATTCCATTATCATTGTGGACAATGCAGGAAAGCTGTCTGCTTTATTTATACAGAAGCAGTCAAACTCTGGCTCAGACTTTTTATGTCATGGTCAAGTGGGTGTTTCTAAGGATAATTCTGTCATTTGTTTCACCTTGAAGCAGGATGTTATCCATCCTACCCTGTGGTCAGGAAGTTCTCAATAGATGGTGCATACCAATCAGTAACACATTCCTACCACAATCCTCATTCTACAACTGAATCTTGAATCAGTTAAGGGAGGAAGTGCATCACAGAAGAACGGATGTAAAGATCAAGGTGTTAGACTCGGGGAGAGTCCAACCACGTGGAAGGGAGCCGCACCGTTTGGCAAGGCAAGTCACGAGGCAGAGGCTGTAAAAAGCACAAGGATTTTATTGAACATTTGCAAATGGGCGACAGAGTCTCTGGAGACACCCCAGGAGCCTGCGCGCCCCCAGGCATGTTAAAGCACCTTTTAAAGGACAAAACCGCAAACTTTGCATAACAGCTAGCATTCTTTACTTTAAGATTAGACAGCCCCAGGGCTCCCTAGGCTTTGCATAACAGTCTGCACTTTCTCAACTTAAGATTAGAAGACCTGGCGCCTGTCTTGCTTATCCTCCACATTCCTGCTCTGGCCTTGCTGCATGGGCCTTGCTTCCTTATCTTCTCCATTCCTGCAGCTGCCTTGTTCATGTCTGGGAAACTGAAACTTTACTTGCTTCACGAAATGACTTCTCTCTATTTATTCTAACATGGCTCTACTCTTGCTCAGCAGAAAGCAATACACAGAAGCAAAATCAAGTGGTTATTTCAAAGGAAAGAGGGAAAGAATAGATTCCCACTACACCTGGGGACAGAACACCCTTGATTAGCATATGGTCAACGCGGGTAGGGTGGTGTGTGTGTGTGGGGGGGGCACAGAGACAGCAAGAATAAAAGGCCCTTTGGCTAAAACAGTATCAGCAACATCAACTTCCAAGCTCACACTGGTAGTAAACATTAACTCCACAGAGGCAGACAATGCCTAAATAAATTATAGAAATCTCAGCGGGATTGTACTACCATATCCACCATGTGCACCTGGACATGCTGTCCTCTGCTCCATCTGAGCCATTGAGGAGGCTCAGCTTTGCCACATGCACTCCTCGGTCAGACCACGGAACTTGCAATTCTCTCCATGGTTGGGGTTCTGAATCCAGCAGTTCAGTTGGGGGAAACTGAATCCCCCAAAGAAACTTCGTGTGAGTGATCCCAGACCTGATTCTTGTGTGTGCTTGCCAGTACAGGGTCTGACACAGACCATTGCCCCAGGAGCCTGTGCACATGCTGGTGGTTGCAATTGCTGGTCAGTTCTGCATCCAGCCCTGTCTTCTACACAAACCAGTGGGTGTTGGAGCCCAGCCTGATCCTGCCACCACACACTTGGTCCTCACACAGACCAGTGGGAACTGCAGTCTAGTTGGAGCTACCTGTAATAACCCCCACCAGGCCCGTGCCCTGCCCTGCCCTGGTTCCCGTGCTGGACAGTATGTATGGGAGATTGGTCTTGTCTGTCCCGCATCCCATTCAGCTCTCACACATATAAGGGCATTGAAGCTTAGTTCACACCCAAGCTGGTGGATGT